TACTATATTTGTCTATTAAAACGAGTGTTAAGTCCTTTTTGCTTTAATTAAGCTCAAAATTCCAAGTTTTTTTGCGGAATGAAACCAATCCGTATGTCGAATTTATTATAGGCATATATTTCAACGTTTTGGATCATGCTCGATCTGTCTTCAAATGGAGATCACATAAAGCAAAATGTTTTACACATTCGTAAAATGGCAAAAAAACCAACAAAGGTATCCTACAAGTCGACAACTAAGCGTTTTCTGCTCATGTGCGTAAAGAGGCGAAAATGTGGTCAGTAAGGTCATCGTTGGCTCTTGTCTGAAGAAATTAGTTCTGAAAGGTTGTAGTCTTGACCAGAGCCAGTAAGAACATTCAGGAAGTTTCGAGTGACGACATCACGCAATGGATCGAACCGCACGGCGATGAAACTACATCACACTGAAGCAGCAATGGTTGGGCATTCTTAAATGGTAACTCTGTTTAACGAGGCCATTTACAAAGTCGCCAGGATAAGATTATGTAATGCACTATGTATATATATATATATACATTTGAGCCGCTTGTACCCGGTCTCGAATCTTTTCAGTCATGGTCCACAACTCATGACCGTAGGTAAGCGTGAGGCTTAAGATCTACTTGAATGCCGAAATCCTCGTTTTCAGACTCAGCTTTGCTTTAGTCACAGTGGGTCGGGCTAGTACACGCAGAACTCCACTCCACTGGCTACTCCAATTCGTTGATCGATCTCTTCCTCAAGTTTTCCATCACCACAAACACGACCCTAAAGTACTTGAACTTTTCCACCTGCTCCACTGTCTCTCCGTTAATCTGAAGAGAGCAACGGGCAGGAGAACAAGAAAGCGCTAGGCTTTTCGCTTTAGATGCGTTCACACTCATGCCGGTCATGTCGCACTCGGCTGCGAACCTTTCTAAGGAGCACTGGAGATCAGTTTCAGAAGATGCCAATAAAACAAGGTCATCAGCAAACAGCAACCTTCTCGTCTTCACACCTCCTACACCGATACAATCATCGCTATTCCTGACTCTTCTATCCATGTACAACACAAACAGGATAAAGGACAGGACGCAGCCTTGGTGGAGACCAGTGCCAACGCTCAAAGATTTCGATTTAACGCCATTTTACTCTGACGCAGCGCTTACTATCAACATATAGTGACTTGATGTCCCAAGCAGCATGCTCTCGGTGCCATATGTTCGTAGCATTGTCCACAGACTGTCGCACAGGATCCGATCATAGGCTTTCTTTAGATGCACAAACCACGTATACACCTGATGGACGTACTCCCGTGATTTTTCAACCATCTGAATATCAGGTCAGGTGTGATTCAACCGGGCAGGAAGCCACGCTGCTCTTGTATCTTTGAGTTAGTTAGTCCGCGGCACCTCTGCGTAGACTGCCCGGGAGGCTCAGTGAGGCAATACCCGGATAATTTCAGCACTCCCTATAGTCTCTGTTGTTGAACAGGGAATACTACAGCCCCTGTTCTGCTGTCCGCTGGCGAGTTTCCCGTAGCCACTGCAGTATGACAGATACGTGTAAGCCAGCACATGCTTTGTTCGCCTAATGCTTTGAGCATTTCAGGGCGGATTTCATCAGTTCCAGCAGCATTTCTACTTTTCAGGCTTTTCACAGCTTGTGTGATTTTATCTACTGAAAGTTCTTCTGAAAGTTCATTCTAATATCCATTCCCTGTTTCTCTACAGGCGATTCTTCCTGCTGTTGCCTGGATTACTGAGTTCCGCAAACTAGCCTTTTCATGGCCGAAGAATGTTCTCTTTCTCGGTAAGAGAGTGTCCAGATTTGTCGCTTAAGACTCTGAGGCTTCCCTTTTTTTTCACATCGAAGTCGGCGGAAGGTCTCCCAGAATACCTTGTTTGCCTGTAAGTTCGACTCCAGTACTTCGTTGAAGTTCTTCCAGGAATCGGCTTTGGCTTTCGCCACTGCTTCCGCTGCCATGTCGCGCGCTTCGACATCGCATGCGAGTAGAAGATCCTTTGCTTCCATGTCATTTTTTGAATGCAGTCTTGTCTTTAACTGCCAGTCTTATTTCTCTTGTCTATCAGGAAGTTCTTTCTTGACTTCCAGGCGTCAGGCCAACCCGTTTAAATCCGCGGCATTGAGCGGCAGCAGTGAATAAGCCGTCCCTTCCCATTTGATTTTCTGGTTGCTTCTGCTACCAGATAGTCGTATGGTACTCCGTTTTTTACAGCACAGCGTGCCAACATCATAGTGGTGATTGGTTGACAGCTCTGCGTCTTGTAAAGCGAATATCCTTACCGAGCATCGGTAGTCAGACGAATCAATTATGAAATCGACTTCTATGCACCAACTTTCTTGTACCAGGTATACTGATGCACGCTTCGGTATTCAAAGAAGGTATTTATAACAAACAGTCCGTAGCTCGGACAAAATTGTTTCACGCCATTATTGTAGACGGCACAAAGGCCGTTCTTTCTAATCACACCTTTGCAATTTCTCAATGTCTGTTAAGACATCTTGATTGAAATTGTCCATTAGAAAGGAGATCTCCGTAGTCGGCGCTTCGTACAGAACACCTTCTACTTTCGCCAGAAAAAGTTCATATTCTCCCTCCGACTTGGGCGACTCTGACTTATAGCACTGTCATAACTTTGGCCTGTTTTAGCTTCACTCAGAGGATTGCCACTCTTCCGCTTACAGATTTCCATTCAATAATTCTATCAGCGAGGTTGGGTTCTACCAAAACACTAACACCGGTCTGAGCACACGTGATGACTTCGACACCTGAGTAGAATAACTTCCACTCACAGTGGTTCAGAATATCAAAGCCTTGACTCTTCATTGACTATAATCCAACTATGTCCAGTTGGTAACTTGCTTGCGGCCTCAACAACCAGCTCTTTCTCTTTTCCTTTGAGTGAGAACATGTTCCAGTTTCCGCTGTCCGCTCCAATTGTCGAAAACGTTCTTACGGAGCAGACTTATCTGACCTACTGTAATGGCATAGCGCTGTCTGCCTCTTCTTTTCAGAGTAGGTGACGGTTCCTTCGTTGACTGGTATTCGTCATCGTTCTGTCGATCTTCGGTTGCCGTTGTCGTGTTGCTGCTACTCCCCTGGCTGCAAGAAGGAAGGAAGCAGGTTCTGTTCGACTTTTTGCGGTATGACTACTCTGTCCGCAATAGTCTGCGTCGCGCTTTGTAAGCCGTGAAACGACCGAACGGGTATAATATTCGATGGCAGAAATACGAGAATATATATATGTATATTCTGTGGAGCAGCTCTTTGGGCAGAATTTTGGTGTATCACGTGAATATCAAACAAGTGACGATGTCTTTGCCGATGTGTCGAGTGACAGCGATAAAGGCGCTTTCTTTGATTTCTTGGTGTCTACTTGTCGCGTTATGACCTCACAATTGTCACAGGCGACCTCAGTGCGAAAGTAGGTGCCCGAATGCGGCACCTGGCCAGCTGTACTGGGCGGATACTTAGTTGACAGTACGAACGAACAACGGCAGGTGTCTGTGAAGCTTTTGTTACAAGCAGCTTCATCGTCAGTGGAACCCAGTTCCCTTGCAGGCGAGTACACCAGATCACCTGTAAGTACCGTGATGGAAGCCTAAACATTCCAGTGGCCCATATACTCATCAGCTGGTTACCATATAGTATTAACGGAATTTCGTCTAAAATTAATTCGGTCGCATCGTCGGCGTTTGGTTCAAACACATCATCTGCTCGATGTTGATAGCCTACCGATCGGAGGTAAAGAGCAACTAGGTTACTGCCACCTTTAGTGCTTTGTCAGAAAGTAGCAACGTCTATGAAGTTGCCAAATACTTCAAAGAAGGTGTCATTTCATTATCGAAAAACGTATTTGTAGTCAGGAGCAAGCAGCCAGAGTGCTTTGTGTCAGAGAAGAACTAGCGCTTTGTTAGCACCGGAATTAGACAGAGAAGAACCTGAAACACTGCTATACATTCGAAGGCAGGTCATCGCCAACTCATTTCTGCAGTCTTCCCAGCTGCACGCAAAACAGGAAACTTTGGTTGGGGGGAAAATAAGGAAGATCGTAAGGCAACTAGAATGAGTGACTAGTGAGCAGTGATGAGAGAGATGCGACAGTTCTCTGGTGAGCACGGAAATCTCGTTCCTTCTTCGAGACGCAGTGTCCCATTGGCAGGCCATAAATAATTGGAACGACGGACTGAGGATTTCCGGTAGCTGCGCTCTAGATTTGTCATTTCCGACCATTAATTCTGTGCTAACACTAAAGCGCAGACCCATCCACTAAACTAAATATCTGAAAAGCTTTGCTACGCCTCAAAGTGAAGTTGGTCGAATTGTAGGGTAGGGTGATCGAATTGTATAAAAGTTAATTAATTATGGAGGAACGGGAATAACAGAAAGCTCCATGCCCTGTTGCATCAAATTTGGACCTACAAACGTTTCCCATGAGAATGGAACTGTTGGGTAATTATCCCTATACTTAAAGGGCGGTCGGACGACTAAGTGTTCCAGTTCTCATGTTGTCATATTCCTGTCAACTATGGGAAAACTCTTTTTCTCGAATATCTTGAAAAGCTGAAACAGGTAGTTATCAGGGGGTCTCGCCAAAATCATGCTGGCTTCCGGATGAGGTACTCGACCAAACTTTTACTTGACGTAAGATCACTGTGAATGCCGATGATTCCGGTTGCCTTGATTTTAACGCCGCATTTGATTCACTATAATGTCAGATGATATGGAAAATCTGGAAATGCTATAGGATATTTGAGTTCATCGTTTTCATCTCGTAAGAGATATGTGCAAACTACGTCTGTTCTGAAAGTTGAAGGAGTGTTAACTTCATTAAATGCGGAGTTCGCCAGGGGACGTGCTTTCGCCTTTGCTGTGCAATGTTCTTGACTTTCCCCGAAATATTGCTTACCCTGGCAAAGACGACGACCACATTCTAGAGGGAAGGCACAGTTCAACTTCATATCGGACTATATTTCATGCTGACCTGGTGTATGCATTGTATTGTGGCGTTCAGTTACCTGATGGCTTCCGTATGTGACACAACTGCGAAAGCAGGCCGCTTAAAACCCCGAAGTCAAAATATTAGAAATCCATCTGGCACTGATGATTTTTAAATGAATCAGGGACGTGAGGCAGTGCAGGAGGTTAGCCAGTTTAAATACCT